CCTTCCCTGGGGGTCCCAGCACGGGATGAGACTCCGTTCCCTCTGTCCCCAAATCCCGCCACTAAGTCCACAGGGTTCCCTACACAAACCGCCAGGGGTCTTCTTCCCAAGAGCCTCTGTGCCTGGGAGGCTATGCGCATGAAAAAGGGACCGTCCTTTTGTCTCCCAGGCACAGGAAAGCCCGCCCGCCGGAAAATAGCTGGTCTCTTTGTCCTTCAGGCTCAGGCTTCAGAGCCCACCAAATTCGCCAGTGCCCCAAAAGTGCCCACAACAATCTCAGGAACATTAGACTCTGTTCGTGAGGTCCTGGTGTGAAACCTAGACAAGGGAAGCGTCTCCTTTTGAGGGTATGAATGCTTCCCCTGCCTGGCGTTCGTCTACACGAATGGCGGCCACCCAGGGGAGCACTCATTAAATTACTTCCCTTGCGGTTTCACACCTATGTTGCAAGCGCAAACGCTCTGATTAATTGGTGCACTGTGGAGGTCCTCGTTCGGTAGACAAACGAGTCAGGAAACAGTTCATGAATGCTCCCACTAGTGGCGTTTGCCTGTACGAATGGTGGCCACCCAGAGAAGCACGCTTTAATTGTTTCCCTTGCGGTTTGACACTTATGTTGCTAGGTGTGAACGTTCTAACCCAGAGTTCTAAATGGGGTATTGGGGTGGTCCCCGTTCATGAGGTGAATGGCTTCCCTTTGAGGAGGCACTCCTGAACGGGGAGCAGGCACAAAAAAAAAAAATACAGAGGAAACACATGAAAAGAAAAAGGAACTCCACTAACAGCTGTCTTGCCACACAGCTCTCCCTTCACCACAAGCCGACATATCCCAATGGATCAGCTTGGGGATGTCCAGGAGAGTAATCACGGATCACTTGTCCAGGGCCGTCTATTTTGACAACCAGTCGGCGTTCACCATTTTGCTTACCGGGTCTGTAGTGAATGGTGAAGTCATATGGCTCTAGTGCCAGGCTTCACAGTGTCAGCCGGGCATTGTCTCCCAAGACCCGGTTAAGCTACACGAACGGGTTGTGATCTGTGAGCAAGGTGAATTGCTGTCCATGTAGTTGGAAACAAACTTCCTATAATAGCCAGCAGTCACTAGGAATGCCAGCACCTGGGTCTTAGTGCGAGGACGGGGTCAACTGGCTACTGCCTCAACCTTGGCTGGCTCCGGCTTCTGTGACCCACAGCCCACCCGGTGCCCTAGGTACTGCACTTCTGCCATCCCGAGGTGGCACTTATTGTGTTTTAGAGTTAATCCTGCCTCCCTAATCCTGTATAGTACAGCTCCTACATGTGCCAGATGCTCTTCCCAAGTGTTGCTGCATATGGCGATGTCGTCCAGGTAGATGCAAGCCCAGCCCTGGAGGCCATCCAACAGCCGGTCCAACATCCTCTGGAAAGTGGCTGGGGCATTCTTCATCCCAAAGGGATGACCTTAATTTGGTACAGACTTAATGGGGTGACGCATGCTAACTTGGGGACAGCATCTGCCGCTAGGGGAATCTGCTAGTACCCCTTACACAGGTCTATCGTGGTGAGGTACAAGCCATCCTATTCAGTAGCTTGTCTATACGGGGCATGGGGTTCGCATCCCATACCGTCTTGCCGTTGAGCCTCCTGTAGTCTACACAGATCCTGGTGGCTCCATTTCTCTTTGTTATTAGGACTACTGGGGAGGCCCAAAGACTCTTGGTCGGATCGATGACCCCAAGCTGGAGCATCTCTTGGATCTCCTGACTCATACTCTCCCGCACCGCCTCGGGCACCCGGTAGGGGGTCTGCCACAGAGTTTGCTGGTCAGGGGTCTCTACCCTCTGGGAGGCCAGTGGGGTATACCCAGGTAGGTTGGAGAACATTTCCCACTTTGCAGCCAGCATCTGCTGTGCCGGTCTGCGTTCCTCCTCGGTTAGTCAGTCCCCGAAGTGGACCTCATCTATAACCCTGCCTGAGATCCATCCTCCAGGAGGTCCGGCAGGGGAAGATGATCAAAATTTTCCGAGGCTGGCGCACAGATGGTGGCTACATCCTCTGTCCGCTCTTGGTAGGGCTTCAGCATGTTAACATGCAGGCGTCTAACCCCAGGACCCGAGCAAGGACCGATCACATAGATAGTGTCACACTTTTGTTCCACTACCCGGTATGGGCTCTGCCAGGCAGCCTGTAGCCTGTCGTGTTGGACGGGTTTCAAAACAAAAACCTTCTGACTGACTGGAAAGCTACGACTCCTGGCTCCACAATCATACCAGGTGCGCTGGCGCCTTGGTGCCTCCTGGAGGTTCAATCTTACCAGGTGAGTGAGTTCCTCCAGCCGGACTTGAAAACCCGAGCACATATGGTATGATGGGGGTTCCTCCCTGCTCCCACTCTCTCCCAGTGCTCCCTGACAAGGTCTAGTGGTCCTCTCACCCACCTTCCGAACATTAGTTCAAATGGAGAGAATCCTGTGGATTCCTGAGGCATCTGCCGGTATGCGAACAAGAGCTGCGGTAAGTCACTGCAAGTGTACTGAGCATCTGCTTCATCGTGCCATTGAAACGCTCGCACAGGCCATTGGTCTGGGGATGATAGGGGGAGCTTAAGATTGGCTTAATGCCGCATAACCTCCACAGTTGGTTAGTCATCTTGGCAGTAAACTGGGTGCCCTGATCCGAGATGATCTCTTGGGGAAAACCCATCCGGGAGAACATTTGCATCTGGGCTTCGGCCACAGTCTCTGCCTGCATGTTGCTCAGGGCGACTGCCTCGGGGTACCGAGTTGCTTAGTCCACAATGGTCAGAATATACTCCTTCCCAGAGGGGCTAGGCTTAGAGTGCTGGAGCGGGGCCTTGCGCCGGTCGCCCCGCTACCCCACTCTCTGGCAGACATCACAGGTCTGGCAATACAGTCTTATATCCTTCTAAATGCCTGACCAGAAGAAGCTTTGGGTGAGCCGATGCTGCGTACGACCCTTTACAAAATGCCCTGCCAGGAGGATATCTTCAATAGCTCATGCAGATATTTCCTGGGGGCCACCAACTGCTTGGTGGTAGTAGGAACTGTCCCTGAATTCCCCTTCTCCGTTATGTGGTATAGCCCCTATCCCAGATACATTGTTCCCCGTCCTTCCCCACCTGACCAGTGGCTGCCATATCCCTGCACGCCTGGAGGGTAGAATCGGATACTAACTCCCTCCCAAACTCAGCCGGGGTTGCGAGGTGTGAACGTTCTAACCCAGCGTTTTAAATGGAGTATTGGGGTGGTCCTCGTTCAGGAGGTGAATGGCTTCTCTTCGTGGAAGCAAGTTGCTTCCCTTAGTGGAGGCACTCCCAAATGGGGAGCGGCCACAAAACACAAAAATACAGAGGAAACACATGATAAGAAATGGAAAATCCACAAACAGGCAGAGGTTCCGCCACAGTGTGTACCTGCCCAATTATATAATTAATTAGGGACCCACCTGTCACCCATGGGTGGGGGCTGGTGGGAACCTGGTGCCCTTCTTCATTATTCATATTAAGGCCTCCACCTGTTGACCATGGGTGGGAGCTGGTGGGAACACTAGGGCCTTCCCGATAAAAATTTTAAGTAGTCCACATCCAATGCCCATGCGTTGGGGTAAGGGGAAGAGTATGTCTCAACTGTTAATTAATAGGCCTTATCCTAATGGCCGTCTAGTCACTAGATTCACTAGACATGCCTACACCTGCTGGATGGTGGTAAGGGCATATGGAGGTTTAAGTCCTCAATTATTATAATATGGAGGTCTTATTGACCCCCATAGGATTTTTTTTATTTATTTACTTTTTTTTACAGGCCTTGTGTTGAATTCTGCGGGCATGGATATGCAGCATTTGGTACGGTGGTGTTTGGACCAGCTTATACTCGGACCAAATTCAGTTCTATTCGGGCCTGATTTACAAAATCCAGACGTTGATGAATTCCATGAACAACATCCAGATTTTGCAGTCCAAATTGCCCCATATGCAGATGGGTGGTTTTGCCCCATTCATTAAGGGGTCATTTGGACTTTAGTGATTAACCATGTAAGTTTAGTTTAAAGAAAAGGAAAGTAATGGACTTGCGGCAGCAATGATATTAATGGAACAATTCAATTGTTTATGTTAATACCCAGCAGAATGCCAGTATACCATTTAGTTAAATACTGAAATTATGTAAACAGTTTTTTTGGCAGTAACTTTATAACACAATATGGAATTAATCTGGATCTTGGAAACAGAGATGCAGCCTGTCAGTTACTGTCTTCACGTTAACCACAAATTCTTCAATTTCACTGACTCATCCAACCTCAATAAGATGCTATTTATTGTATTGTTAAGATGTTCAAATAAAGTATTCCCTGAGTCACAATGGTGAATCAACTTCCACTTTCTATAATGGTAAGTACTGGGGTGTTTTGTTTGGCATTCAGGGATAAAAGAACAGAACGGAAGATTAAAAGGAAAAGAGGAAAATATGTGTAACGGATCGCCTGGCACCCCGACTGGGTACCTCCGTTGAAGGATGCTCCTAGCGCTTCCTGAGGACTCCAAGCACTCTGGCAGACACCACAATCACTGAACCGGAGAAACAAATAAATTCTCCCAAGCATATGAATGCTGTAGACAGTTGAATAGGAACCATACGAATAGGTTTACTCTCCTAGCAGTCAAACTGGAACAGCATACCATAAATCCTTCCCCCAATAATGAGACGACACTTCACTTTGAGGGTTAAAACAGGAACTTCCTGTACTGTCACATACAGTCTCTTTTATTCCCAATCCACAAACATGGTACAGCCCACAGGGCGTTACAAAACAACCAATCAATCCGTACAATACACCCAGACACTCCCACACAAAATCCTCCCCTCTGCAGGTGATATGATTACTGAACACAATGGGTAATCTAATTATCACCGGCAGAGGAATACAGTTTTTACACAATATTTCTAACTTCTAAGATATACATGTCACAAACATAAAACATACATTTTCATAATCAATCCATTCAGGGGAACAACATATTAAAAAATGGCACGAATCAGACCAGGGGTTCAAAAGTTAAGGGAAAGTCCTTTGTGACTAAATGAAGCATGGCTTTCTGGCCCAAAACAGTTTCAGAGTCTTCTATCCTGGAGAGTAATTCAATTATCTCCCAGGATAGACACAAGACTCCATTAAGCACATGGTTGCAAAAAGACACAAAACACTTTAAAATACATAAAGTCACATTTACACATAACACACAGACATTTCACATGTCCCCAGATAGCTGGGATCTGAGTGCACATTATTAGATGAATGGCACTCAGATCACACAAATAAGCCTTTCTGCAGGGGAAATAAACGGTTTAGCCTGCAGGGCCATAGTCCAAAGGGAGCAGGCGAGCAACCAGGCTTCTCCAGTTCACAGTGGCGAGGTTGGTTTCGCCACACTTCTCCCCTTTACCAACTAGACTAACAGGGTATCTGACCTCCTGCCGGTCAGTGCCCTGGTTAGTCCAGCAACCCACCCACAAAACAGAAACAGCAGTACAGCCCACCGACAATAACTGGTTACTACACCTGGGTAGAGGAGAACTTTGTCCATGTCCAGGTGCCTCACCACGACTGTGTGGGCAACTGTTAGGCTGCCTTGGTGGGTTGCTGAGTGGGCAGAGACCAGCGGTACTCTGCCCTGATGCTAGTGCTACCACGGAAGTAGCCTGGTGGGAGCCTGGTTGTGGGAGGGAGAGACCGACTGTCTCCCCTCTGGATACACCGCTCTGTGGCTGGGGAACAGGACCGACTGTCCCTACCCCTTGTGCTGTAAGTGCAGAGACTACAGTCCCATCTGCACTGTTGGGGGATGTAACATCTCCCCTTGCTGGGTTAGGCTGCCGCTGGAGAGAGGGTGTAACAAGCTCCTCTCTCTGAACTGTAAACTGCCGCTGGGGAGAGGGGGTATCAGGCTCCTCTCCCTGACACTCTCTCTGCTGGTGGAGAGGGGGACCAGCTGTCTCCCCTTTCATTATTTTTTCCTGTGGTTGGGGTGCGAGACTGACGGTCTCTGCTCCCTGCAGGACACTCTGCCGCTGGGGAGGAAGGACGGCACCTTCAGCTCCCTGGGGTACACACTGCAGCTGGGGAGGAAGGACTGCACCTTCAGCTCCCTGGGGTACACACTGCCGCTGGGGAGGAAGGACTGCACCTTCAGCTCCCTGGGGTACACACTGCCACTGGGGAGGAAGGACTGCACCTTCAGCTCCCTGGGGTACACACTGCCGCTGGGGAGGAAGGACTGCACCTTCAGCTCCCTGGGGTACACACTGCCGCTGGGGAGGAAGGACTGCACCTTCAGCTCCCTGGGGTACACACTGCCCCTGGGGAGGAAGGACTGCACCTTCAGCTCCCTGGGGTACACACTGCCGCTGGGGAGGAAGGACTGCACGACACCTTCAACTCCCTGGGACACACACTGCGCTGGGGAGGAAGGACGACACCTTCAGCTCCCTGGGACACACACTGCCGCTGGGGAGGGAGGACGACACCTTCAGCTCCCTGGGACACACACTGCCGCTGGGGAGGAAGGACAACACCTTCAGCTCCCTGTAATACACACTGCTGCTGGGGAGGAAGGATGGCACCTTCAGCTCCCTGGGACTCACATAACTGCTGAGGAGAGGGACCAACTGTCTCCTCTCTTAAGTACACACACTGCCGCTGGGGAGGAAGGACGGCACCTTCAGCTCCCTGGGATTCACACTGCCGCTGGGGAGGAAGGACGGCACCTTCTGCTCCCTGGGACACACACTGCCGCTGGGGAGGAAGGACGACACCTTCAGCTCCCTGGGGTACACACTGCCGCGGGGAAGGAAGGGCTGCACCTTCAGCTCCCTGGGACACACACTGCTGCTGGGGAGGAAGGACGGCACCTTTAGCTCCCTGGGATACACACTGCCGCTGGGGAGGAAGGACGGCACCTTCAGCTCCCTGGGGTACACACTGCCGCTGGGGAGGAAGGACGACACCTTCTGCTCCCTGGGGTACACACTGCCGCTGGGGAGGAAGGACGGTACCTTCAGCTCCCTGGGATACACACTGCCGCTGGGGAGGAAGGACGGCACCTTTAGCTCCCTGGGGTACACACTGCCGCTGGGGAGGAAGGACGGTACCTTCAGCTCCCTGGGATACACACTGCCGCTGGGGAGGAAGGACGACACCTTCAGCTCCCTGGGGTACACCTATGAGTCCCCGTAACGCACTCTGCCTCCGGATAGGGCGGCTGATACCTTTGGCTGGATCTGCCATGAACTCCAGGTACTCGTCTACCTGGCTCCTTACGAACTGCACGTATTTCTCCGGGGGTTGGGTCCAAAGAAAGCCAGCCGCATAGCAAACTCTCTGTCATACTGCTCCTGAGTGTAGCTAGGTGCCATGCTTGCGCTGCTGAAGTTGGTTCTTTTGTCGATAGGGTCGCTGTACGTGTACTGGCGTTGCCCTCACTTTGTAATCCAAGGAATGGTGTTGCCCTGTAGCTGTCTTTCTGGTTGTAGGAACGATCCCACCGCTTGCCACCAATTGTAACGGACCGTTTCTCTCACAAGGGGATAAAATCCGTTTAGGCGATAATCCCCTTTCCCATAGACCAGCAGCTACTGCAATCACCAACCTCCTGAACTCCAAACTGCACGTATTCACCAACTCTCGAACAGCAGACACAGGAACCCTGGAAGCAGCCGAACAGGAAAAGCAATACAAACGGCCTACACTCCTGGCAGTCAGCACACATTCCAATTCCCCCAATAACGAGACGACACTTCGTTTTGAGGCTTAAGCAGAATCTAAGGTGCTGGCACACCCAGCCTGGTTTTTATTACAGTGTTTTCAAATACAGGACCGCCCACAGGGAGGTATAAAACAACCAATAACATCACAGTTACATCCCACATATTCCTTCCCCTTATCCTGAGAGGAAACTCAATTATACATACAGTTAAAACATACTTTCTACCCAACTTTCATAACTCCAAAACCATACATCACATTCGCATAAAATTACATATTCACAATCAATCCATTCAGGGGAACAACATATTCAAAAATGGCACAAATCAGACAAGGGGTTCAAAAGTTAGTAAAAAGTCCTTTGTGACTAAATGAAGCATGGCTTTCTAGCCCAAACCAGTTTCAGAGTCTTCTATCCTGGAGATAAGTAATTCAATTATCTCCCAGGATAGACACAAGACTCCATTAAGCACATGGTTGCAAAAAGACACAAA